GCGCACCGAAGAATGCGAACGTAAGAGGTCGAGAACTCCCAGCTATCGCGCGCACCGTGCGCGAGCCCGTGGCGAGGGCTGGGGATCCCTCGGGCTGCCGCGAGCCCGGAGGACCCGCGCGGCCTGGCCGGGTCATCGGCGCTTCGCTTCACCCACTCGCGCTCCGGCGGGGTGCGTGCGCGAGCACGTCGCCTCACAGACCCACCGAACCGGTTCGCGAGCCGCCCGCAGCGCCACCGGTGACCGCGGCGAGCTGTGGCGTCACACTCGCGAGTCGGGACATGCTGGGCGGTGTGTGTGTGTGGGGGGGCGGGCGGCAGTTTCGGCTCCAGCATTTCAAAACAAGCAAGTCGAGGGGGGAGCGGCGCCGGCGAGGACACACCTGGCGACCGGGCCCGAACCCCCCCGGCGCTGGTGCCTCCCCACACCCCTGGACCCCCGCAGACCTTTCTGCTCCACCGCCACCCGCGACACCGTCCTGACGCCGTCAGTCAAAACCACAGGAAAACTCCGGCGAAGCGCTGAAACTCCAACTGTAACCGCACACACGGCGGGCCGCCAGGTCCCCGGTACTCCGGCTGCAGCCTGGACACACACACACACACACGGGGGCAGGACAGGCCGAGCCCTTACCTCACCTGGTCCCGCCGGGCGCGTCGCTGCTGTCCGGCGCCGGAACCGTCGGTCGTCACTGGCTCGCGCTGGGCGTCACGGTCTCTCCCCTCGCGGCGACGTCCCGCTGCACGAGTCCCCCAGTCCGCCACGCTGAGCGAGAGGCAGAGAGACGGCAGGGCTGAGACCGGCGCCCGGGAGCCGCACCTCCCAGTCCCTTCCACAGCCCACACTCAAGCTAGGGAGAGCGCTTTTATTTTGAAGCGGCGAGGTGTCCCAGGGACAGACGGACATCTTCGGGCACTACCAACAGTAGCTTTCTCCCTCCTCCCCCCCACCCACCACCCTCACCGTCGGTTCGCGATAATCCTCCGTCTCCCTCTCGGCATACGTGTTCAAACGGCCGGACACGCCGCCCAGCCGCGCGAGAACGCCGGAGTTGGGGCTCCGCGGTTGCGCAGCGAGTTTCTGTGTGGAAGTGGGCCTCTGGAAAAGAGGACTCGGGCGCCGCAACCACACGAAAGCTGGGGCTCGTTACAAAAATAACTAGACAGCGGGCAACAGCGTTCAAGTTAGCAAAGAAAAGACGAAAATCTCCACAGCGGAGAGACGGCGCAGATTTGCTTTTA